TCTGCAGGCGAGCTAGCAGGCGAACTGAGGCGAATTGCGAGCTGCAGGCGAGCAGGCAGTCTTGGGTCTGCAGGCGGATTTGGGACTGCAGGCAGATTCGAGCTGCAGGCGAGCAGGCAGACTTGGGTCTCTCATCTTGTAAATTCTCTAACTTCTTCCACTGATTGGTATTTGGATTCCGGAGCAAATATCCACGTCTGTAATGACCGCTCTTGGTTTTCAAATTATCAGGAATCACGTGGAGGAAGCATAAGCTTAGCAGATGACTCCACTAATTCAATAATAGGAAGTGGACGTATAGAGCTCACCATGACTTCTGGGAAAGTTCTTCATCTGCAAGGCGTTTATCATGTTCCTTCTCTCCGTCGCAATCTGATTAGTGAATCTCTTCTTCTTAGAGCTGGTTATAGGATTGTAAAAGAATCCAATAAATTTGTGATTACAAAGAGTAATGTTTTCATAGGAAAAGGTTTTATCTGTAATGGCCTTTTCAAACTCAATGTAATCAATTCCAGTTCTAATGAAATTTCTGAGTCTTCTGTTATTCAAATTGTTGAGTCTTGTGATGTTTGGCATGGACGACTTGGACATGTTAATTTCCAAACCTTGCAGAGAATGAGTAAATTAAACCTCATTCCTAAATCTTCTCATGATCCCTCATCTAAATGTGAAATCTGTGTTCAAGGGAAACACACTAAAAAACCCTTCAAGTCTATAACTAGAAACTCTGAACCCCTCGAATTAATTCATAGTGATGTGTGTGACTCTAACCGAGTTCTCACCCGAGGGGGTAGGAGATATTTTGTGACTTTTATAGACGATCACTCCAGATATTGTTACACCTATCTTCTCAAAACTAAAGATGAAGTCTTAGATAGGTTTAAGGTGTTCAAAGCTGAATCTGAGAACCAACTTGACAGGAAGATCAAGATTCTAAGATCTGATCGTGGGGGGGAGTATACCTCAAATCATATGACTGAATATTGCCAAGAACACGGTATTATTCATGAGGTTACTGCTCCCTATACACCACAGTCTAACGGGGTAGCTGAACGAAAGAATAGAACCCTAATGGACATGGTGAACTGTATGTTACTCAGTTCAGGAGCACCTGAAAATCTCTGGGGTGAAGCTCTTCTTTCTGCTTGCTTCATTCTCAATAGGATTCCCCAGAAATATTCCGATACAACTCCTTATGAATATTGGAAGGGGAGATCTCCTAATCTGAATTTCTTCCGGGTTTGGGGTTGCTTGGCTAAAGTAGCTATTCCCGAACCTAAGAAGAGAAAAATTGGTTCTAAGACTGTAGATGCTGCTTTTATTGGATATGCACTTGATAGCAATGTTAACAGATTTTTAGTCATCAAATCTGAAATCAGTGACATATCCAACAATACCATCATTGAAGCAAGAGATGCAGTCTACTTTGAAAACATCTTTCCTTTCAAATCTAAAATCTCAGAAAATCCCAGATCATCCATTCCTTCTGATCTTCCATCTTCCAGTTCTTCTCAACCTCTTGATATTGAACCTCGAAGAAGCAAAAGAGGTAGAATCGAAAAGGATTTTGGAGAAGACTTCCTTACCTTTCTTGTTGAAGGTGATCCAAGCTCATTCCAAGAAGCAATGGATTCACCTGAATCTCCTTTCTGGAAAGAAGCCATTGATAATGAAATTAAATCTATCATGGAAAACCATACTTGGATACTCACCGACTTACCTCCAGGTTGTAAACCTATTGGTTGTAAGTGGATATTCAAGAAGAAACTCAGAGCTGATGGTTCCATAGATAAATTTAAAGCTAGATTAGTAGCTAAAGGCTTTACTCAACAAAAGGGCATTGATTATTTTGATACATATTCTCCTGTAGCCCGAATATCAACTATCCGAGTATTACTAGCCTTTGCTGCTATCCATAAGCTTATCATACATCAGATGGATGTCAAGACTGCTTTCCTGAATGGTGATTTAGATGAAGAAATCTATATGCACCAACCTGAAGGCCTCATTGCCAAGGGTCAGGAAAACAAAGTCTGTAAGCTTGTTAAATCTTTGTATGGTCTTAAACAAGCTCCAAAACAATGGCACCAGAAATTTGACAACGTCATTGCACAATATGGCTTCACTGTGAATGAATACGATAAATGTGTCTATTCTAAAGTGATAAACAATGACTATGTCATTCTCTGTCTCTATGTTGATGATATCCTTATCTTTGGAACAACACTTGAATTAATTTCAAAGGTTAAGGATTATCTTTCCAAAAATTTTGATATGAAAGACTTAGGTCTTGCAGACATGATACTTGGAATGAAAATCTCTAGAGACACTAGAGGAATATCTTTGAGTCTTTCCCATAGCATTGATAAAATGCTAATCAAATTCAACTTTCATAACTCTAAACCTGTTTCCACACCTTATGATTCTTCTATACCTTTGAAGAAGAATGAAGGTGAACCTGTCTCCCAACTAAAATATTCTCAGATGATTGGATCTCTTCTTTACATATCCAACCGAACCAGACCTGATATAGCTTATGCTGTAGGGAGACTGAGTCGGTATACTAGCAACCCTAGCAAAGATCATTGGTCTGCCTTAGAAAGAGTATTCAAATATCTAAAAGGCACAATTGACTATTGCTTGACTTACACTGGTTACCCTGATGCTATAGAAGGGTATAGTGACGCCAATTGGGTCACGGATTCCAACAGTGTAAAGTCTACATCTGGATATGTATTTCTTTTTGGTGGTGCTGCTGTATCCTGGAAATCATGTAAGCAAACAATAATTGCCAGGAGCACCATGGAATCTGAGCTAATTGCTCTTGATACTACTTGCACAGAAGCCGAATGGTTAAAAGATCTTCTATCTGAACTTCCTTTGGTCCCTAAACCCTCTCCTCCTATTTCCATTCACTCTGATTCTAGATCTACCATAGAGCTTCTAAAGCAAGTACATGTAAATAAAAAACATAACAGACATATTCAAATAAGATATAAGTCTGTACAACGCCTATTAGGCAAAGTTGTGATCTTGGACTTTGTAAAGTCTGAGAAAAATCTTGCTGACCCTTTGACTAAGGGATTATCCAGGAGTGTGGTTCTGGATTCATCGAGGGAGATGGGGTTAAGCCCATAAATGAGGTCACTGACAGCGGCAACCCAACCCTTATTTGGAGACGTAGTCCCAATGTCGGTTCAATGTGGTAGAAACAAGCTGGACAAGTGACTCTCGTGTGGAGCATCGACCTAGATATATTTATATATCATTATGTAGCATTTGCTACTACCCCTTCTCTATGATGACGATGCTCTTATGATACAGCTGGCTAGGCTGAGTTTTACTCTTAATAAGTCCAACGCGTGTATTGTGGGGGGTATTAAATAAACAGCTGTAGTACCCTTTGAGGACTTACCTACGTGAGAGGAACCGTGATGGCCGCGGTTGGTGGGGGCAAGGCTGACCCCTAGAAACTCTCATGAGTCGGTTTTTTGTGAGCATGGCCTTTAACGCTCAACCCGCTTAACTCAATAGATGAAACGTATTGTGTGTGTTTTTATCAATACCTGATCCAAGGGGCCTAATTCAAGGCCTAGTCCATTATGTCCCTCAGGTGGCGATAAACTCACTAAGGAAAGGTTCAAAGCCGAAAGCTACCTCTCCCGAATTCACGATACGAAAGGTTGCCCAACCTATATTTATTCTGTGATTTATTTATTGATTTATTATTTTCAGTCAATATTGCCTTTTGGGGGGGACTGTTGGAAGCTTATTCATGAAAATGCAATTTTGCCTTTGTGAATAGTCCCACATCGGAAAATGAGATGAATAGTAAAGGGTGTATAATGGTTCTCTCCTTATTGGGCTTTGAATAGTGTTTTGGGTTTTGTGGGCTTTGCGGTTCTACCACACACGCGCGCGCGCGCACGCACGCCACGCGCGCTCGCCACGGCCCAGCCCGCACGCGCCCGCGCCCCCTCGCACGCCGCACTCGGCAACACTTGTGCTTCTCAAGCGCTTCATTTTTGCACGTTTTACACATTTTGTAACGGCTGCATGCGGGTCACGGAAGCCATTTAACGCGTGCGTAACGGTCCCTTGGATTCAGCGGGGGTTACACTTTCCATCACCTATATAAAAGGAGGCTTGGAGCTCATTCAGACACACCCACGAAGAGGACAATATCTACCTCTTCTCTCTTCTCTACTCTTATCAGCCTCCAAGAAGATTCGGGCTACATATTGTACATATTCTATTTTCTGGCAATGTTTTCGTCTGAGCATAAAGCTCTGTGTCTCACGCTCCGAGTGCAGAGCCGGCCAGATTCCGGGGGTTTTTACCGCTAGGGGAGAGAAGACAAACTGCGCCAGGGCGATAGGCGGGTCCTTAATCTTCTAGGGCAGTGATATCACGACTGCTCCCAATCAGGCCTGAATTTTCTAACTCTTTAATTTGTTTTATATTATTATTGTTTTGACAGCAGTGTATGGGATAGTTTCTCCGTCATTCTCGGTTTCACTTTGAAAGTTGTTAATTTCGTAGTACTATTGTTCGAAACTATGGCAAAGAAACGAATATTTCTATCAACTTTGAAGTCTTTGATGCAAGTAACAAGAAAGATTTTAACTACTTCTGAAGCTTGTCTACTAGATGAGCTATCATCTCGTGCCTTTTTTTTTTATTTCATTTGTCATCTTGTTTTCCACCAAACAGCCGAAAATTTGGGTCGGGCCAAATTTGAGGTTTATTTTTTCGCCGGAGAAAAAATAATATACCAATATGTCGTCGAAAAATAAATGTACGAAACTGTCACTAAGCATAAACAAAATATATTAACTTGGTATTTTTGACTCTTGTTTTCCACCAAACAGCCGAAACCCACAATGCATAGTAACATAATGACACCGTGCTTTTAGTCCAGTCCTCAACGGTTCATAAAACAACCGGGGGGGGGGGGGGGATAAAAAGTAAATAAAAGGAAAGGAAACAAAAGAGAAGGTAAGTAGCCGTTGGAGTATTCAAAAAAACATACACACGCAAAGAAGTCTCGTGGGCCCTGCGAGATTCCCCGCTCCCACGCACGGCCGAGAACGCTCGTTCACTAACGGCTACTGGGTCCCACTCTCAGAATATATAGCCGTTGCTCCTACTCTCTCTCTCCCTCCCTCCCTCCTCCCTTAATTTCTCTCTCACTCCTGTCTTTTTTTCTCCCTCTCGTTACGAAATCTCTAGTTCTTCTGCATCAAATCATGACTGTAGAAGTGAAATCGGAGAAATCAGAGAGTACCCAGGCGGAGGAAGTATCAGATTCCCCCAAAGCAGGGCCCGTCAAAGCCACCGGAGATCCCCTCAAAGAACAGGAAGCGGAGGAGGAGAAACCCAATTCATCAATGGAGGAGGAGGAATCAGAAGAGCAGCCCAATCCATCCATTGAGGAGAAGAAATCGGAGGAACCCATTTTGGATTCCGAAGTGAAAAAGCCCGAAGATGAGCCCAAACCCGAAGAATCCTCAGACTCGGCGAAGGTCATAGAGAAGAGCTCTTCTTTTAAAGAAGAAAGCAACTTCCTCTCTGACCTCAAGGAGCTTGAGAAGAAAGCTTTGATCGAGCTCAAGGCCAAGTTGGAGGAAGCCATCCTCGAGAAGAAGCTCTTCAAGAATGAAGAAGCAGAGCCCGAGGAGACCCAAGAAGAAAATGAAGGGAAAAAGTCCAGTGAAGAGATTGATAAAGATCCCTCTCTATGGGGAGTCCCTCTATTGCCGAGCAAGAACAACGCATCCACCGACGTAATCCTCCTCAAATTCCTCCAAGCCCGTGAGTTCAAAGTAAAAGAATCCTTCGAGATGCTGCAGAACACTCTCAAGTGGAGGAAAGATGAGAGCATCGATTCTGTCGTCGATGAAACCGAACTGGGGTCTGATTTCGAAAGGGCTTGTTATATGGACGGCTGTGATCGAGAGGGGCATCCGGTGTGCTACAACATCCCTGCGGTGTTTAAAGACGAAGAGTTTTGTAAAAAGGCACTTGGGAGTGAAGAAGGGAGGAAGAAATTCTTGAGATGGAGGATTCAGGTAATGGAGAAGGAGATACAGAAGCTAGATTTGAGGCCTGGAGGGGTTTGTAATTTGCTTCAGGTTACCGATTTGAAGGATTCGGTTGGCGTTTCGAAGAAGGAGCTGAGGGATACCATGAAGCAAGCTCTTCAGACTCTGCAGGATAATTATCCTGAGTTTGTTTCGAGAAATGTGAGTCTTTTCCCCTACTTAAAAAGTTCACCTTTCTGATTGTGACATTCTTGCATCAAGTGTTGAAGTTATTTCATATTTGTGAAATGTAGCTTTATTCATGGTTGATTTTTGTGAAACATGCATTCAACTCATACATTAGACTAGCCTTGTCATTTACTACAAGAAGACGGAGTTGTTAAGTGCATGCTAGTATGAGAACATAATACCTGAACTGCTAACTTACGCAATAGAAGGAATATTGGAGTAATAGTATGTGCAATAATTTGATCCTTTTAGCTTTCTGTATTTACAATGTGGAAGTAGTGTTATTACAATAAAAGTCGATTCGCTAGCATTCTGTATCTACAATTTTAAAGCTTTGATATGCGTGAGGGTGCTTCTACGCGCTGCTCTTTGTAGTGCATCTAGTGGCAATTTCAAACCTGCAAGCTTTGAATTGAACATGAATTTTCTTTCTACTAAAATTGAGGAATGAGGCTAAGGCTCACTCCTCTTCACCCTTTACACGGCACTCACAAACACTCGGGTCTAAATCTCTCTCTCTTTCCAGATCTTCATAAATGTTCCTTTCTGGTACTACGCATTCCATGCTCTCATCTCCCCGTTCTTCACCCAAAGAACCAAGAGCAAGTTCGTCTTTGCTCGCCCCGCAAACGCCACTGAAACTCTCCTCAAGTAACCTTCTCCTCTCTTCTCTTCTCTTATTCTGGTATCCATCTTTTTGCCAATCATTTAGCTAACCCTGAGATAATTTATCAGGTACATCCCTGCAGAAGCTGTTCCCATCCGCTACGGCGGTTTCAAAAGAGACAATGATACCGAGTTCTCAGTCGAAGATGGTGCAGTCTCGGAACTGACTCTTAAGTCTGGCTCAACAGAGACTATTGAATTCCCCGCACCGGAGGTATCATGCTTGTTATCATCAGATTCCATTGAGCTTTTCACGTTAAGATGATTATCTATATTTATACGCCTCGGATGCTCATCATACTTAACCCTTTTGCAGGTTGGGACTACCCTGATATGGGATTTATCGGTGTTGGGCTGGGAAGTGACCTACAAAGGGGAGTTTGTGCCGACGGATGAAGGATCCTACACTGTTATCATTCAAAAGGGGAAGAAGATGGGGCCTCAAGAGGAGACTGTTCGAAACTCATTTACAAGTAGCGAGCCTGGAAAAGTTGTGGTAACGATTGAGAACAAGACGTACAAGAAGAAGAGGGCTCTGTACCGATACAAGGCTAAGAGTTCTCGACTGGACCGAAGTGATCCTAGAGAGTAGCTTGACGCTTGAGGGGATGAGAGGGAGAGATATTAAGAGTCAATTCTTTTAAGGGTGATGGTTAGTGTCCAATTCTTTTTTAGGAGATTTGGGGTGTTATCTTTTTTGTTGTATTTCGGAGTTGTTATACGAATTTGGATTGGATGTTATCTTTTGACGAAAATGAAGAGATCTTATTAGTTTTTAGATGGTCGTCGGAAAACCCCATTTAACTTTCAAAATATTAGAAAACCCCTCCTTGAGTATAACTTTCAGGCTTCGTGAGAAAAACCTAATTAACTCAGATAAACAGTTTTTATAATATTCAAACAGTCATACTGTATGGCTGATCGCGTGGCCTAATGGATAAGGCGCTCGCCTCCGGAGCGGGAGATTGTGGGTTCGAGTCCCATCGCGATCGTAGTTATTCGTTGTTACTTTTTTCATATTTTTTTAACAATTAATTATGTTAACAGTGTAACTTGCATTTTCTGCATTTCAACAATTAATTATGTTAGAGTGTAACTTATATTTTCTGCATTCTAGAAAGAGCTCTGCTATAGGGAACCAAAATATGGGACCATTGGAAGGGACAAATGAGATGTCCTCTCCTATTACATAATGAGCTGACATGACCAGCTCATTATGCAATAGGAAGAGGGCAATTTACCTGTCTCCTCCATTGGCATGACCAACTCATGACATGCTTAATATTTCAACAGAATAAGAGTCAATATTTGTAAGCAACAACCGCCATCTAGATCATCTTCCTCTTCAAAAAATTTCCACCTATTATTTATTTATTTTCAACGTCAACATTCTCAATTAAATTGCGAGTTACCTCCAAAAACAGATGAAGGACAGGGGGGAAAAAGAAAAAGAAAAGCCAAAACAAGGACTAAAATAGACTAGTTTTACAATTTGGGTACCTGAGTGAAGGCCCATACTAAGTAGATGTACAAAATGTGTCCACGGTATTTTCCTGTGGCGTGCTCATTTTGACCTGTAGAACATGAAAAAAGCCCATTGGAAAAAAAAAAATCCATACCTTCAACCTGTGGATATATAAAAGAGAAGAAAGTGAGGGAGGATAGTGATAGATAGATTATGACATTATGATTATGAGCTTGAAAAAGGTTAGAGCGTGCAATCTATTTACTCAGTAATTCAATTCACAGATTAAAAAAGGGTAAACGATTGCAAGGATAAAAATCATATCTCAACGCTCTCCCTTCTGATCCTTTCTCTAGTTTTTCTTTTCCTTTGCCAACCGTCTCAGCAAGATTGTAAATTACATCCAAAGCCGAAAAGGAGGAAAAATGAGATGGGGTTAAAAAGGAAGGGAAAACTCTTAAGATTGAGCATAATGGGGCCCACATGAATTAGTTTTTAAAACTGGGCCCCCCAAAGTATACGGGTCAGGCCGGAGCTGTGAACTTTCCATGGTTTTAGCTCGGCTCACTTCCAGATCACATAACAGCGTGTGGATGTAAGTCAGACGATGAGAGTGAGAGTGATGGTTTATGATATTTGAATACGACACTTTCGAAGTTTAGCTTAAATATCTGCTGTTTTTTTTTGTTTTTTTCCTCAATAGAGCTGGATTATATTATGAAACAATGGCCTCGGCTTGAAACTATGTAGTTTTCCTTATACTAGTCTTCTGTAATTGAATTTTTTTTTTAAAACACGTTAGTGATCATAATTTTATATAAGGGATATTTGTCCCTCAAATATTTAATAGTTCCATTTTAGTCCCTCAAATCTTAATTAATTGCTCATTGGTCCCCCAAACCCTAACGGGTCTTGTAATTTGGTCTTGAATGGCCAAAGTACCCCTTTGTTATGATTTTTCATTCAAAACCCATATATAGATAGATATTAGAAATATACCCATGATATCCTTGAGAGAAAGTAGAGGAACTATATCATGTTGGAGAATAATGTGTGGCGTTGAGTAAACAAGCCTAATATGTTTCTTCGCGCGCTTGACTAGTATTTCATTGATGTGTTACGCATCTTGTGAGGCTCTCGAACCTCTGTTGATCCTTGATGAACTGTTCCTAGCCATAGTTACCCTGAATACTTGAAGAAGAGAGAACGAGGGAGAGAACTGAGAGATTTAGGAAGAATTAAGGAAGAAGATGAACGAAGATTAAAGTGAGAGGAAACAGAATTCTTTTCATAGATTGCAATGATTTTACAACACTCTATTTATACAGTGTAATTCCCTCTCAAAAGAAACACTCAAAAGGAAAGTGCACTGTTTGTGCACGTGCACCAGTCTAACAAACAAAACAGAATTGTAACAACAAAACAGAAAATAACTGTTTCAGCTGAGCTGGACTTGAAACAGTTATTGGCCTGCTGAGCTGGACTCTATTTTGCAGATAGCTCCCTAATTTCCAAGAGGTTTGCAAATCAGACCTTCCTTTGTATATCAGTCCATTCGCCTCTGTGCATTGCTCCTTGATCAGACTGTCAGACTGTTCATTGCTTCCTTGACACAGAATCAATATTAACTCCTAACAAATTCCCTCCCCTTAAATTGGACATTGTCTCAAGGTCAAAGGTAGGAAATCTCTTGACCAAATCCCAATAAGACTCCCATGTGGAATTCAATTCTGTGCGTTGCTTCCATTTGATTAAAACCTGAGAAATTAAATGGTTACCCCTGACAATAGATCTCCTGTCTAAGATTGCCTCTGGCTCATCAACTATCTCCTCCACATATGTAGGAAAATCAACTTGAAGGACAATGTCAGACCCAATTCTTCGTTTCAACTGAGAAACATGGAAAACAGGATGGATCTTAGCTTGAGCTGGAAGGGCAAGTCTGTAGGCTACTTCACCAATTTTCTCTAAGATTTGATATGGGCCATAATACTTAGGAGAAAGCTTATGAGGTTTGTGTGAAGAGACACTAATTTGTCTGTATGGCTGAAGTTTAAGGAAGACCCATTCACCAATATTAAAGCTTCTATGACTCCTGTGTACATCAGCAAATTTCTTCATTTTCTCAGCTGCACTCTTCAAGCTTTCTTTCAAAAATGTCAGGGTGATGTATCTAGAAAATAAGGCCTCATCAACTGCTTGCACCTTACAGCTTTTAGGAATGTAAGAGAGCAAGGAGGGAGGGGGTCTTCCGTATACTGCCTCAAATGGAGTGGTTTGAGTAGATACCTTCCAAGTAGTGTTGTACCAAAATTCTGCTAAAGGCAGCCATTGACACCATTCCTTAGGCTTGTGACAACAGAAACATCGCAGATAGGCCTCCAAACTCTTGTTTGTTATTTCACTCTGCCCGTCAGTTTGAGGATGGTAGGCAGAGCTGAACTTGAGCTGGCTACCCTGCAGTTTAAACAGCTCTCTCCAAAAAGAACTAGTAAACAAAGGATCTCTATCACTTACTATAGACTTAGGTATACCATGAAGCTTGAAAACCCCATCAAAGAAAACCTTAGCTACTGATTGAGCAGTATAAGGGTGTGTAAGTGCAAAAAAGTGAGCATACTTTGTGAGTCTGTCAACCACTACCAAAATAGCAGATTTGTCACCACTTTTAGGCAAACTAGTAATAAAATCCATTGACAGATCCTCCCATATATAGTCTGGCACAGGTAAAGGCTGCAGGAGACCAGGAGAAGCAACATTCTCCCCTTTAGCCCTTTGACAAATATCACAAGCTTGAACATATCTCTGGACATCCTTCCTCATTCCCTTCCAGTAAAAAGACCTCCTGAGCCTATGTAATGTTCTGGTAATCCCAGAGTGACCTGCAGAAGGGCTAGCATGGTGCTCTTCCAGTAATGAGGCCTTAATGTGTGTAGCAATATAGCTGATAAGGATTTTGCCCTTATAATAATACACCTTCCAGTAATGAGGCCTTAATGTGTGTAGCAATATAGCTGATAAGGATTTTGCCCTTATAATAATACACCACATTCTTCGTACAATAATCCTCAACTGGTAATTGTCCTTGTTGTAATTTGTCATCAAGTTCTTTGAAGAAAGGATCTGTGGAACACATTAGCTTAATTTCTTCAAGCCAATCATTATGGACAGTGGAAATTGCTGAGAGACCCATGGTTTCCTGGGTAGCTTCTTCTTCATCTTCATAGATTCTAGACAAGCCATCAGCAGCTCTATTCAACCTACCAGGTTTGTATTCTACGACATAATCATACCCATGTAACTTGGCCAACCATTTGTTCTGGATGCCTGTATGTATCCTTTGCTCTAGTAAGTACTTAAGACTTTGGTGGTCAGTTCTAATAACAAAACTCCTTCCTAGTAAATATTGTTGCCACCTCTTAGTTGACAGGATAATTGCCAGCAGTTCTTTTTCATAAGTTGATAGAGCAACATTCCTTCCCTTTAGAGCATAGCTAAAATAAGCTATTGGTCTCTCTGCTTGCATCAATACTGCCCCAATTCCAGAATCAGAAGCATCACACTCAATAATGAAGTTCACACTGAAATCAGGCATTGCTAAGATTGGGGGTTGAGTTAGTGAATGCTTCAAAGATGTGAAGGCCTCTTCAGCAACTGGTGTCCATTTAAAGGCCCCCTTCTTCAATAGGTTAGTCAGGGGTTGGGCTATCATTCCAAATCCCTTGATAAACTTTCTATAATAACCAGCTAGACCTAGGAAACCTCTTAACCCCTTCAGTGTCTTAGGTGCAGGCCACTCAATAATAGCCTTAATTTTGAGAGGATCAACCCCAACTCCTTCCTGTGATACAATGTGCCCCAAATACTCCACTTGTCTCTTGCAAAAGCTGCATTTTGACATTTTTGCCACCAACTTGTGAGCTTCCATGATCTCAAACACCTGCCTCAAATGAATCAGATGATCTTGCCACTGCTTGCTATAGACCAGTATGTCATCAAAAAAGACCAATATGGATTTCCTGAGCAGATTTTTGAATATATTATTCATAAGAGCCTGAAAAGTTGAGGGAGCATTTGTTAGACCAAATGGCATCACTAAAAATTCAAAGTGTCCATGATGTGTCCTGAAGGCAGTCTTTGGTATGTCCAGCTCATACATTCTGATCTGGTGATAACCAGATTTTAGGTCCAGCTTAGTAAAGAACTTGGTTCCATGAAGTTCATCAAGTAGTTCATCAATGACATGAATGGGAAACTTATCCTTGATGGTGGATTTATTGAGAGACCTGTAGTCAATGCACATTCTCCAA